ACTTCCAATGTTTCAATATTTTTTTAACTGTACCACCACAGAACATAAAACACTGGAAATGTTTTACTCCAACATCGAGGATGCTTACAGCTCATCTGCAAGACCTGCTCTCCACAACGTGGAGCAGGATCTTCTCCCTCTGCTCGGTATAGGAAATTCTTTTTAAGAGGCAACCTGTGACCATAAGGTGGTCAGAGGAAGCACAAAAACCTCTGAGGGGATGTGTTGAGGTTGCAATGTGTGCCAGATAGAGATGACATCAGTGCCGTGACTGAGTGAGTGACTGGCTTTTTAAACTTGTGTGGGCAGCATCCTCCCCACCAGGGCTGAGGTGCTACCTAATCCTAAATCACCAGAGACCCTCCTAACAAGAACACAGAGCCTTCATGGAAGTAGACATGGGGTTCGTGAGAAGTATACAAAACCTAAAGTCAAAGTGAGAAATAACAAAGGGATGTCATAAAACCACACACAACCAAAATAAAACAAAAAAATCAATCTCAAGCAGAACAATGTATTAGATGAGAAAATATGACTGGATCCCAGCAGTACACTAATCATACATCTGAACTAAGCCAGTTAGCTTAAAAAGTATTTTAATAGGTTCAGTTGAGGAATAAGTTGAGCATCTTCTTCTCCTGCTCTCAAACAGACCTAAACTATTTTAAATGTTCTATCTTTCCGCTCGATCAAATATACTGCAGTGCCCCATGGGGTTGGAGTGGAAGGGGTTACATACCTGCTTCATCAAAGCCACAGACATCTGGACTAAGCGGGAAGCACTGTGAGGATCAAGAAGACACGGGTGGAAACATCACAATCTCATGGATTGACAAACCGACGGCCAGTTTATGAGACTGGAGGATTGTGTGTCTGGCGAGGTAGTCAGCAACACAGGAGCTCCACAGGGCACTACTGTATACTCTCACCATTAATTTTATTACTCGGTGTGCAGAACTATTTAGATAACTGCATGTGCACAATATGGGCAACAGTGGCAGAGGACTGTTATGTTGTAAAGTACCTTTGGGGGCTTCTAGAACTAGAAAAGTGCTATATAAATACAGACCACTTGCCATTACAATGTGTCTAGTATATCAGAGATGAACCAGAGACTAGTTGATCAGTTTGTGGGACAGTGTGACAACAATAATCTAATCTTCAATGTAAACAAAACATAGGTGATGATGGTGGATTTTAGAAGAAAACTTAATGTCAAACACCTGTTCTGTAATGGCAGAAGTGTAAGTAATGGAGGAATATACCTCATTGTCCACCTGGACAGCAGACTGGACTGGAGACACAACAGTGAAGATGCTGACAGGGTTCAAATTACAGGGGAGCTAAGGGGAGCCCAGCTCCTCTGGATGGGTTGCAGGCTCCCCTGGAAGCCCTTAACTTACACACCCATGGGGAGCCTGAAAAAGGTTTCTACCTGTGTTACATTCTTTAGGGACTCTGTACCAGGGATTCTTTTGAGCAGAGCAGATGGAGAGTGCTTCAGGCATCAAAATAATAAAATTACCACATGTTCATGTCAGCTTATATTCTCTGGTACGTTCTGTCTTTTATTTGGAGATGCAGGAAGATCAGAGACAGACAGGACAGGAAAATACAAAACATGAAGACAAAACAAAGAGCTTGGAAATGAAAATGTAGGAACATTTATCCTATTACACGTTTTTAACTTTATGAAGCAATATTTTATAAGCATGTAATATTTAAGTACTTGATTCAATTCAGATTACATTCAAAATGCAGTTCCACGCTCAGGACCGTTTCAAGGCATGATAGAGACCAAGACAAAATAACTTCAGACTTCTCCTTCACCTGGGGAGTGTTGCAAAGCAATTTTCCTCCAGGACAACAGATGGCGTAGTGCTTTTCTGGGGTATCAGGCCATCGTTACACTCATGTACCGTGCCCAAGATAGTGTAGTGCTAACGTGTTTATATATTTCAGAGACTTTATAACACAGAAGAATATATCCTTTGTTCTTCTTCACTTCTTCATGCAGTCGCCACCTCTAAACCCACGTTTCCCATCATTTCCATCCACTATTAAAATGCTGGCTGAGTATTTTCAGTCTTCAGTCACTGGTGAATACACGTCCATATTTTCTGACTTTTTCTTGTTTTTTAATCTGTTCTGCTAAACATCTTTTTATTTTTGAGAGGGTGATGGCGGTGTTATTGACCAATTTAAAGGAAGCTGCGTCCTGACCAGTCCCACTTGCAGACAGATTAATGCAGTTGTCAAGTCATTTGACAGCAGTACTGTAGCTCAGGAGGGAGAGCAGGTTGTCCAGTAACTGGAAGGTTGCCGGTTTGATCCCGGCTCCGACCAGAGACTTCTGTTGTTGTGTCCTTGAGCAAGACACTTAACCTACCTTGCCTGCTGGTGATGGTCAGAGGGACTGATGGTGCCAGTGCTCGCCTGTAGCTTTGGCTACATCGCTCACCCCCATGTGTGTGAATGAGTGAATGACTCCTGTAGCTAGCACTAACAATGAGCTAATGCTAACACAAGCCAACTGATCCTAAATAAGCCATGAAGTAAAAAGATCCACACTGTTGGAAAAAAAATATTACTTAAAAGTCCAGTAGCAACAAAGCCAGGTCACTATCAGTCTGATTTCATAGCCACCTTTATCTCCCTTAAGCAAGTGTAGGCCAGTGCTGATGTTCACTTCACCTCTAAAAGACATTACCCTCTTACTTTTACTTCCAGGCTCAGCCATGATGCCAACATGTCAATGACAAACTGAAAAAGTTAACTGTAGTCTTACGATGAGCTAACCTAACCCTAACCCTAACCCTGACACAATAAACGAGACCTCCCACAAGTGCTTTTACCCAAACCACAAAGCAGTTAAGTGCAGAACTGGTCAGCAGAGGGCTACAGTGCTGTTCAATGTAAAGTTTCTTACGTTTATAGAATTACTGAAAACTTTTCAAAAGCAATAGTTTGATGTTGCTTTAAGAAACATCTCTTTGATCTGGCTTTCAACGTGAGTTGACTTGTGCATCTTAGTGATTCTGTTTAGATGGGTTTTCAACTTTTTACTTCTTTTATTCTTGTTTTTATCCTAATGAAATGTTTTGCTATAATGATAGCTGTTTTTGTGGTTGTTGTGCAGCACTTTGGGTCAGTGCAAACCGGTAAAAATACACTACAGAAATAAACGTGACCTTCACCATCACAATTATAATGACTAAACCCTAATATAACTTTGTATTTAGATTAACATTTGAAACATACACCATATTGATTTAACATTTATTTTTGTATTTAGAGCATTTTAAAACCACAATCAAATTTTAGTTCAACGACTTTAATAATTATGTCAAACTGATATAAAGTAGTTTGTGACCCCAAAGATAATGATCATGGTACATTTATGTGTATAATCAATAATAATAATATCTGAATTAGCTTTTGAGCGTTGCATGATTGCTTTCCTTCTTCAGTTAAAAATAACACTTGTCTTTTCAGTCTCATGCAAAACACGATGTGACATTTTGGTCTTGCAGATTTTGACACGTCTAATAAATCTTTGGCTCTCCCTGCAGATCATGTATTCCATCACTGTGCCAAAACAGGTGGGCTTCATACTTTGCAGTGCTGCAACCCCCCCCCCCCCCCCCCCCCCCCCCCCACACACACACACACACACACCCTCCAACTGTCCACTGACAAGTTGTCCTCCATAGGTAGTGTCCTTGTCCCACCTATGTCAGGCTGCACTGGGACTGATATGATCTGACTGACAAAAGCAATCTGTTTGCCAGGTGCCATCCCATAATCCTGCTTTACAGGAGTTTCTCCTGTACAGAAAGGCAAGATAGACTAACATTTGGGAGGGAGCAGATGATAGGATCCAGAATGAATAACCAGCTACAGACTGCAACAAGGGTTCAGGATATTTATATTTAGCTGAACAAACAACAGAAATTTAAACACTGTTGATTTATGTTAACAGGTTTGTTCCACTTTACTCCAGTTTATCAGGTTCACTTGTTTCACTGTTTAAAAGAAACAGCAAATCATCCAATCACATGACAGCAACTCTATCCATTCAGGCAGCTAAATGTAGTGAACACAGAAGTTCAAACTGAGCATCAGATCGAAGAAGAAAGAGGATTGGACTTTTAACGTGGCATAGCTGTTACAAAGCAGATCTTCTGGGACTTTCACCCACAACCATCTTCAGGGTTATTGAGAACGGACCCTTCAGTACTGCCTTTGCCTGGTTTAAACACCACAGCCCACCTGAGTACTGCTGCTGACCATGTCCACCCCTTTATGACCACATGGATCCATCTTCTGATACTGTAGCTGCTTCCAGCAGGATAAAGCACCATGTCACAAAGCTCAGATCATCTCTAACTGGTTTCTGGAACATTGCCAAGAGTTCACTAGACTCCAACAACATCCACAGTGACCAGATCTCAGTCCAGCCCAGAACCTTTAGTTATGGGTGTAACTGTGTGATGATGTCATCTCAATGTGGACCATAATGTCGTGGTACGTCTCTAATGCTAACGCCAACCTATCCAGGCAAACGCTAGCCTGTCCTTGTTAGTGGACATCAGATAGAATACAGTCGATCCGGAGGATAACTAGTTAAGGAATACTTGTCACTAGCGTCTCCATTGCTATTGCACAGGAGTGGTCCGTTTCTCAGTAGCCAGCGCCAGAATTTCTGTTACCAGCACCGACCTGTTGTTAATCAGATCAGCAGCTTGCTTCAGAATATATAGCTTCCTGCAACTGTCTTAATTTTGGCCCTATTTCTGTGCCATAGACCAGAACTTTTGAGGAATGTTTCTAACACTGTGTTTAATCTATGACTAGAAGTATTAAGGCAGTCCTGAAGGCATAAAGGAGATCCATTCTGTAATAGCATGGTGAATCTGATAAAAATGTAATGTTTTTGTGTACATTTAGCAAATTCCTCATTACAGAAACACAGAAGCCACATTTTTAGAAACTGCAAAGAGATTCAAAAAGAAGCTTTTATTATGTTGTACATTCCTTCAATGTTTTTGATCATTTGGGCTCTTAACTATGTGTTTAATCTTTTCCTTTGTTCCCAGCAGCTGTAATTACTTAACGTCTGTTAGCATTTGTCTTTTGCTCTGCTTGGGTGCTTTTTCATGTTGTTTGTTGCCCTTACAAAAACATTCTGATGTGGAAAAATTAGAACCAGAATAATATTTTTGACATTTTTCGCCTTCAAAGAGACTTTTAGAACCCTTCGCTGTTACAGAAGCTTTGATAAGTTACTAGAATGCACTTTTAAATATAAGAAATCACACAGTAAAATCGTATCGGAACCGCATAAGAGAACCATGATTTGTTAGTAAGGACAAGGCTGGATGATTCAGACGGACCACAGTCAGCTGTACTAATATCAACTCTCAAAATATTACACACAACATCTGTTAATCTAACAGCAGCGTACTACAGAGTATGATTTTATATACAAAATAAGGTGATGTGACAAAGCCACAAACCACCTTGACGAGCAAATCTACAAAACGGACCTATTTCTAATACCAGACATGTAGAGTTTTGCAGAACGGTCCCTGGTTGATTCTCTGACAAATCTGACTTTTGAATGAGACATTTATGAATCAAAACTCCTATGAAATGTCCTCAGTATTTACACTTTCTTCCATTTCACTTCCAAAGCTAATCTCTTGAAGAATGATTTGCTTGTAGAATGGTCCGGGCATCAGTCACACAGGCAGTGATGGCACACCGATCAGATTTTATCAACCAAACATGATGGCCCCCAGGTTAATTTATTTTATTTGTATATTTTCCCAGGTTTTAGCAAATTACCCCCACAGCACTGAAGGCAAATGAGGTGAAATCTCTGCAGCAGTCAACATAAGATCCACCAATGCCTACGATTTCACTGTGATTCTCTAGTTCCTGTTCCACTTGGACGAATGTTTAAAACAAAATCTTGAAAGAAGAAGGTAGATGTTTAAGTCCTTGGTTCCTAGAAAATCTGGAAACCTCTGAGCTGTAAAAATGTGGATGTGAACACAGACGCCAGCCCAAAGAGCATAGTGGAGGGGTGAAGGCAGCTGGAGTCAGCTGGTGAGCTTCTGGGAACGGCGTTGGAAGTACCAGACTCATCCAAATGGTGGTTCTGGGGAGGGAGGGAGAGAGAGAGACAAAGAGAGAGAGAGAGAAAGAGAGGGGAGAGATATAAAGACCAAGAGACAGAGACAGAGAGAGAGAGAGAGAGAGAGAGAGAAATCAGATTAATTATTCACGCTTAAAAAGAGGGAAAACTGATTTCAGGATAACCTAAAATCCTACTAAATCTAGTCAGATGTTGGTGTATGACGACATCTTTCGCAATTTGGTCCATTGGGAACACAATTTAGAAAATAAAACTCACCGGACAAAAAGCTGTGCCCGCCGTTTGATTTGAAACCAGATTCTGGACCTGGAGGGACAACACGAAGACAGAAGGCAGGGAGACATTAAATTTGATTTCTTCCTTTATTGGGTTCTGAGGACAGAGGATGATGAAACGCTGATACGGAAGCAGATAACAAAATTCATGGCCGACTCTTTTTTTAAAACACCCATAGAGCTCATGGACCTCTGGAGAATATTTAGTTAGATTCAAATGTTAAAATCTCTGCTAACTCAAGGTTAGAACTTCTTAAAAACATTAAACTTTTCTCGGTTCTAACTTTTTTCAGCCACACTTAAAACCTGCATTTGCACATACAAACAGATAAACAAACACAGATACAGAGTTGGAGAATAAAAAATGATAAAGTGACTGGAAACAGAATAAACACTCCATGTTTTGGTTCCTAAGTGGGGAGATTTCTATGAAGCAGGCTTCTGGAGAAGAGTGATTAATTGCTCTATCGGAGGTCTTCCTCCTAAAGGATGTTTTACTGGTGATAAATCATATTATCGCTCTTAAAAGCCAATATGATAGATTGTTTCGGTTAGAGGAGGCTATGTGATATCATCTCATTTATAAATAAAGCCCCAAAGTATTTATCAGTGGGGAGTAGCACACATCTGGAGAGTGTTGGTCACGCCAAATTTGCACCAAAGGGAACTGGAAGGGCACAAAAATAAAAACGGAATGTTTCTTTTGTAGTTTATTGACATTTACTGGTGCTTTAACGTGAGAATCCAAATCCCCAGTTCTCTTCCACCTTTGAAAAAAGGTTTTGAGGAAAAACATTTAGTTTGATATTTTGCTTTTTTTGCTCACAGTCTCACGGAGCCCTTTGGGCCATTTCTGAGGTTACACGAGCAACCAATTAGCTTTGACATGACAGCTTCAGAAACGGTGACTCCTCTCTGATGGATCATCTTTCTGCCCAGGAGGGGGGATTCGGTGCACACCATCATAAAACCGTCCCTGACCTATCAAGGTGACGGAGCCAGGACAGACGTCTGACACTCCGGCACCAGATCCCTTATTGACATTTAGAGCTCAGGTTGGTTTCTCGCCTTCTCTTTTGAAGGTTCTCAGGGAGGTTTCCAAAACACGAATTAAAAGAGAGCAGCGTGGGCTTGTACTGCTTCTGTTCATTTGGGCTCCAAGTCATGATCCTATGTCTAGCTTTTATACATTTGATTGATTTAGACACATAATTAAAGCAAGAAAGTAAAGCTAGTCATCTTGTAATGCCACAAATCCAGTTTGTCTGAACAGGAACATCCTCTGAAGGTCTTTGTACCGATGTCGTTAAAACTGTTCCCATGTCTAGTAACATGTGGCAGGGCTCATCTGTAGTCTCCTGTGTGATCCTTTAAAAACCTGACTTACAATTGTCACTGCATTAGATTAAAGTTTAAAACAAATTGACAGTGTTTTCACAAACTTCACCTGCAGGGTCCCACAGATGTGATGTGTGTCGCTGTTGAGATCCAGTTCTGCCAAAATGTCCACTACGTTGTTCGATCTGCCTTTCTCTCTTCGAGTACTGCTCTGCTCCACGGTTGGGGGGACCGGGGGTTGGGGTTGCCATACACCCACATCTGTACCGTTACCAAATGCCTGAATGGCATTTCCTACAAGAGACAAAAACATAAAGTCCCTGTGTGTTAAATAGTGTTGTAGTCTAAACAGATGATTGGAATCAGCAGAAATACTGGATTTATACATTGAATTACATAATTCATTCAGACTTTCTGATCCCTGTTCAAGCCAGTGTTGTAGTCAAGTCACTAGCTCTTGACTCCAGTTACACCTGAGTCTTAATGTTTCAGTCCGTGTCAAGTCCAAGGTACATACTGTAGGAGCAGGGGTGCAGATAGGATTTTCAAACTGGGGGGGACAAAGTTCCAATGTACCCACCCCCAAACACCCCCCCCCCCCCACACACACACACACACACATGCACGTACATACACAAACTATTGCAAGCGCCTTAACTAGAGCTCAGTCAGTTTGTGTAATTTCATCCGATGGTTTACGTAAAAACTAACACATATATACGTGTTTGAAGCCATTGTGCAGTGGAACGCTGGCAACAAAGCTCTGCCTGATCAACACTATGAATAATGTATGATGCGTACTTGTATAGCGCCTCTCAGAGTAAGGACTCCAAAGCGCTTTACACTACAGTGTATCATTCATCCATTCACACACACATTCACACACTGATGGGGATGAGCTACGATGTAGCCACAGCTGCCCTGGGGCACTCTGACAGACGCGCCCCACAATTTAATTCAGTCATTTGTTATTCTCCCAATCAATTACTAACTAAAACCTCATGCTTTACGCAAAACATTAAATGATTTTCAGCATGCCAATCTTTACAGAAAACGTAAAAGCCCTAAAAAACTGCACATAAAATATAATAAGAAACAATATTCACTTATCACTTAGAGCAGTAGTTCCCAAACTTTCCAGCCTGACCAACAGATGTTCCTTTGTATTTTTACTTTATTTAGAAATTTTCATTATATTTGGAAAGTTTTTATTTCTATATAATAAACAAATAAATCTCTTTTAAAATTTTATATTTTACTTTTTTATGATTATGTGGCACACTTTTGACTTCCATATATAACGCATCGGCATCTGCCTCTTTTTACGGCTTTTTTTTTTTTACATTGTCGCTACATCTATCACATTTGCGGCATTTATACCATCATTTCTACATCCATCACGTCCCGGAGAAGGTTAAACCAACATCAAACCCAACGTTTGGGGCTTGTAAACTCCACACACCTCTCGTGCAGCACCAGCTGTCTGATGCTGCAGCAGTGTCAATCTTCCCGGCTGGATGAGTGAATTTCTTCATCAGAGTCAATATTCTGCTTCATAATCAGAGTCAGTCATTACCAGACAAAGTGATCGGTCAACAAAGACCAGACCTGCCAGCAATTATACGTTTTATCTAATATTTGCACTCTTCATTCTGCGCGCATCTCCTCCTCTCCCCGACTGGGAGCCTCTCAGCGGGAGGCATTTTTCAAGCTCTAAAAACTCCCAAACTTTGCTCAGCCTGAAGGTTACACATCTCCACTATCTTCTTATGTAAAGTAGTAACTTCATGAGGGATCATATTTGTAGATGAGACTTTTTAAAGTCAGCAATGAGGCTTTGGCGCTTATAACGAGTAAGTCCCAACACTGACAACAACGTACTGAAACTAGAACCAACATGCATAAACAGACAGATCGGTCCCGCCTACTTACACTGTTGTTCTTTTTTAAATACGCAGTAATCGCTGTTCGCTTCATCCTGCATCCTTGCAGCAACCACTTTGGCGCCTCTGGAGTCGGTGTTTGTTTACGTCATGCTGCATTCAATGTAATTGGAAAACGAGCTTCAAGTGCTTAACCTCTGATTTTGTTTTCTTTCTGGCCTTAGTTGGGGGGACGAATCGGGGTCGATCTGAATCTGGGGGGGACAGATCCCCCCCCGTCCCCCACCCTATCTGCGCGCCTGTGTAGGAGTAGTCCAAGTCAAGTCACTGATTAGCACAAGTCACTAAGTCCTACAGGCCAAGTCCGAGTTGAGCATCCAATTTCTACCACCCCTTGTTGTATTTGCCAAAGACGTGAATACCACTGGAGAGCGTAAAAGCATTTCCGCCATATTGGATGGGTCTCCTTACTCTCCAAAGTCAATGCAGAGTGAGCAACTATGCCTGTTTTTGTGCATCCTATGGTTGCAACAAATGTCGTACTATTGAAAACAGATCACGTGTGATTACTTTTAACCTTTCTATTCAACCTGAAGGGATTTTATGTTTTCATTTACTTTTATAGATTTAGTTGAATTATTTTATATTTTAATTATCATGCCATTCCATGTGTCTGATTTTGTGAAAAAACTTGATAAAATGTGTTTTTTAGTTGGGTAAGCACCTTCCTTAGTAAAAATGAACGCACTGAGAGCGAATGGAGACCTATCTAAGATGGCGAATGGCCACCACGGCAGCACCTGTTCATGGTGCTTCTACATATATATGCCTGTGGTGTTTGCACCCGGAAAAGAAAGTGAAACTGTTATTGTTGTAATTAGCATGTAGCCGATGCTAATGCTAGCTTGTTGTATTAGGTCAGATTATCAAACACATTTTATAACCACAGCTTCCTAAAGCCTTTTAAGTGTAAGGGGGACATGTTGATTAGTTATTTATATTTTATCTAAGTTTAAGCTTTAACTTAACAAGTATGACTCCAAGTACAAGTCATTAGTGTGCCATTTGAGTCAAGTAACAAGTCCCTTAAACGTGACTTGAATCAGGCATTTAGTCAGAATCCAGGACTCCAATTCTGCTTCACTGATTAAAGCACCAACAATCTCTTTGAGCCATTTATTGAAAAAATATAAAAGCCTTTCTTGGTCTCAGGAGTGGAAAACAACCAAGTGAACAGGCAGCTTGCAATGTCCAAGAGTGGGTCATAAAATAGTATCTGAATTTATGTGGAGTAGAGAAGAAGAATCACTGAGTAGAGATTACATTTCCAAAGAAATACAGAAATAATAAACTTACGCAAACATCGATTGTTGATGAAAAACTCTGAAAATTTATCACAGTCTGCCTTGCTGTTGCCACTGCTGCTGCAGTTGCACCATGGGGACAGGCTGATACCAGATGAACGTATGTAGTTGGGCGTCATCACTGTACCTGCAGCATCAAAGAGAATAATTGTTATGTTAATGATGAAGCTCTACAACTGGAAAGGTTTAACTGGCTCTATTGGTGGTCTTTGTAGACCCATGCCCTTCAGACAAACTCCTTTTTATAGTCAAAAAAAGAGTAAGAAACTGGTACGTACTTAACATTGTGGTTAACAGGAAAGGAAACTATGGTTGTTCTGTAACTAAAATAATGATTTTTTTTTTTGTAATTTAATAGATCTATGAGCATTTCTGAAAGATTTTGAGGAGAAACAGATGCTTGTGAGGTGGGATAGTGTTTGAAGCATGATGAGTGATATAGTTAAAGTTTTTCTGCCTGTTGAGTGGGCAATCGATTTTCATTGCTTTGTGTTCAAATCTCATTTGAAAGACTCCATGGGACATTTGTTTTCTCCTTTAACATAATGGAAGGAAGATTGAAACAAGATCTGTCAGTGAAAGATGTAGCGCTACATCACCTGTGATGAAAAGTTCACAATGAAGTCTGCTTGGGCTGTTGCATTACAATTCTGCCTCATGGAAGAGTTTCGTTCAGCTTCATCAAATAGTAAAATAGACAAAGATGTATGGTTTGAAATCTAGAGAAATCTAGCGGGCTGCTTCTGGCTCAATGTACATGTGTCCAAAGAGGTAGAGGAGTGTGCTCTTGTTGGAATTCATTACCACATTTACCTCGTAGGGCTGCCAACCTTAAAAAAGAAGGTATTTGAGTAAAATATTCTTTATTTAATTTTTTATTTCTGTTTGTGTGTGTGTGTGTGTGTGTGTGTGTGTGTGTGTGTGTGTGTGTGTGTGTGTGTGACCTGCTTTCCTATGTAAATTAGTAAAGTTGTAAAGGCCACAGAGAAAAGGTCCCTTCTGAGAAAAGCTGGTTTTACATGTCATAAGCTTAGACACACCACTTCACATTTGCATTTCCCAACCTACTTCAATGTAAGCAATATGTTAACATTAACCTATTACAGTTTGAATATGTAACCTTATGTAGCGACATCTAGTGTTTAGAGGTGGTAGTGCATCAACAGAATAAATTTTCCAGCCGTCGGGGTGTTGGTTCGCTGCTGATACGTGAAGTGACCAGCCAGCACCATGTCCAGTAATGAATCATATGGGGGAAAGACTCATTTCTACTAATACATTTATTTTACAATGGTATTTACCATTAGAACATCTTCTGGGCTCAGAATCAGCTACTTAACAGTCTGCCATTTTACACAGTCCCAACTTCGCATTGCTAAGCAGACTTTTTACCACAATGGTGCCACCTAGTGGCTGCTAGATGTGAACATGAACCCAGTGTTGCACCCGTCAAAATAAAATTCTGATTGCTTATTTATTTTAAATATAGCTTTTATAGGAGAAAATCGTACATTCATTCTGCACACCTCTAAATGCCCTGTGAGGGTATTATTGTTTTGAAATATAGCTTTTAATTTAAATGTCCCATAATCCGCCTTTAATGTAATGCTAAACTCAGAACAACGTGAGTATGACGTTAGCCTGAGCTGCTAACTTGCTTGTTAGACAAGATGAAGACTTGAAAGAAGAATGTCGGAGCACCACTCATGTTCCAGTATGTACTGGGAATACCCAGACTATGACTGAATGCCTGCTAAATCCATTGATTGCTTATAGGGCTGGGCAACATGGCCTAATATCAATATCACGATATATTGAGGATTTCATCTCGATGACAATAAATGGACGATAACTACAGGTTTGCGCAGAAACAAAAGTTGTCCACTAGATGGGGCTGTCACATGTATTACATTGAGTCACATTTTTATGTGACTCAAGGAGGTACAGCTTCTTAGAGGGACATGAACGTTTTCAACCTACACACATCTTTTCATATTTTATTTAACAAATTTATTGACATGGGAAAATTATCTCGATAAAGAGTCAGAAATTTCGATAACGATAAATTTTCGATTTATTGCCCAGCCCTACTTGCTTATGGAGTTATATGGATACTGTACATGGCTGTAAGGAGTTTCTAGCTTCAGGCAGTCATAGAGCCACACAGCCAAACATTTCTATATATCTTTAAAAAAATCTGTGATGAATCCATCTTTGGAATGACTTACCAATAAGACCAGTGTAAGCCAGCAGACAGTCAGCGTAGTTCTCTCTAAGGCAGCCTGATTTGGAGCGAATCTCTGGCTGACAGTTACTGAAGAAGTCTGCCAGCCTTGACCTATCAGTGGGAAATGTAATATACAATACTTTAAGAACTAATTAAATACTTGGCAAGTTTTCTGTAAATCACAGTTTTGAAAGTGATGCCTTCTCAAGAAGTACACCTAATTTACAGATTACAGACTTAACTGTATTACAGTAAATATTATAGTTTGCCAATTCTGACCAGAATATGGAAGAGACCCTCACATATTCTGGTCAGAACTGAAAAAAGGTCCTCAAGTGAGAAGTGGAATGTCTTCAAAAAGCCAATGAAGTCTAGTTGGCTTATTTCGAACCCCTTTGGATTACCATGACCTGGATGACTGAGAACATGCACCAGCATATACCTTCCATGCAAGACCTGCCTTGACCTGCAATACATGTAGAAACCAAGATCCAGGCTTGGTGATGAGGGATTTTAAGGCTCTTGCCCAGCTGTACATCTGCTTTTAAGTAAATAAGATTGTGTTTTGCCTCTTTCAACAAAACGCAACCAGCCTCGTCACTATGTAGGTAATGATAAGCCTCGAAGCTTTTAAGATTTTTTATGGCCCCGCTGTCTGAATCGACAGAGCCATTAAGTTCTCACACCCGGGTGGATTTTTTTTTTAACTTTTCTCAAAAAATGTGAATTAAAACACACCTACTGTTTTCAGTCATGTCAGTGATGTTGTGAAGCCATTTATTCTGGGGAAAAATCTGTGAACTAATTTCAAACCACCATAACAAAATAAAATACCACAACGACTTGTTGAAACATACACCCAACCCAGGCCCTCATACCATGCATCACCCTCTTTAGCGTCAATGACAATTTGGAGTATTTTGTGGTAGTTGTGGAAGGTTCTGTATAATCCAGTGATAAAGCAGCCCATCCTTCTTGGCAACAAGCCTCCAGTTCCTGTTTGTCACAAACAGCATTTCTGAGATCTCCCCACAGTGGTTCAATGATACTGAGGTCAGGAGACTGACAGCCACACCAGAACCTTCACTTTATTCTGCTGGAGCCAGTGGCAGGTCCACGTGTCCTTGTGTTTTTGGATCGTTAGGTGTGTTTCAGGGTACATTTACAGGAATCTCCCGACATGCGCGCATGTCCACCTGACCAGGCTGTACAAACTGTCGTTTTTCGGGCTGTTTGCAGGAACCTTCTGAGTACCTGCTCTGGAGTAGGTACTCCGAACAGCCCGGTGGACAGCGCTGGACTGACCATAGGGCATAGCGGGTAACTGCCCGCTGGGCCGACCCTTTCATCTTTTATGGGCCGGTGTCTGTTTTTTTTTTTTTTTTTTTTCCCTGGCCTCTAGTTGTTGCGGACAACTTGCCCGCGCCGCCCCACGCGACGCCTCGTAAAAGTTGTTGGATTGGCCAATTGGTAATAATACACTGGGCTGGACCAATAGCCAGAGGTCTGATGCACCCGCCAGTTGTTTGTGAATCTCAGTAAACAGACAGACGAGCTTTACAAAATGGAGAACAAAAAACGGAAAGGAGGAGCGGAGAAAATTCGACTAAAAAAGAAACTGGCCCTTCAGGCTGATGCTGGCACTTGTGTTAAAATCTCACAGTTGTTTGGTAGTGAAGGTTCAAGTAAAATCAATTTAGGAAGTGATGGAGCCTCAGCCCAGCGACAGGTTGGAGAAGAAAAGAGGGAGGAGGAGGAGAAACCCGAGCCGGTGTTGTGCCATAAATTGACTCGCTGCCAAAAAATGATTAGCCACCGCGGGATCGCGCACGGTTAGGTAATTGCATTTCTAGACAAAATTCCCCAGGATTTCGCCCTAAAACTCGGCATATCTAGCAATATGGACATTCAGAAAGCAAAGATAACCTCTTCCGGTACTTAAACAGATGTTTATCGCGGATATTAGTGTGGCAGTGTTTGTGGCACCCTGCGCGGGAGCACGAGGACGTGCTTGTGGAAAGAGGGAGGAAGATGTGGCTGTGTGAGCGTCCTGTCAAAATGTCCCGATTGATCATGCGCCCTGGCTACTGGGCTAAGGAGATGTCTCTTTGGCTGACTGATTAGAGCGTATGACTCTCACCCGGGAGTCTGGGGATCGAATCCCGCCCGTGCACTCCTTTCTGCACCTTTCCACATTAGTTTTTCCAGTTCGGAAGTTGTTTTAAGTGTTGCTATTTGTCTTAAACGTTCACAATGAGGATGTTTTAATCCTTTTTGCAATATTTGCGATTGAAAGATGGTTTGTGCCATAAACTTTGTGGTAAGAACTGGCTTTCTTTATGTTACAGCCTTGATACTAAAAAAATAAATAAACAATGTAAAATGGCACCCTGTATTGAATGTAAACGTTGTATAAATGGAAATAAACAATTCTCCAGCGATTTAATTTTTTCCCCTTCCTTTCTTTAGTCCACTTGACATGGAGCCACAGTTAACTAGTTTGGGGCACATTTTTACTTGAAAAAAAGTATTTAAAATGATCAAGCTTTGGCTTTACAATGACACTGTGTAGGTTGCTATTCATTACATTGCTCTATTTAAAAGTAACAAGATAAAAGCACTTCAGCACATAAAATTAAGATTGTCACTTGCCAAATAGACTACACCCTCCCGTTTACCTATAAGAAACGCCTCAAAATATCTTTAAATTCTTTATTGATGATTTAATTGTAGACAACTAAAATGGCATTTTACTTGCCAAAAAGTGATTGAATCGCTAAGATTTTCACGGAGGCTAAAATTGACCAAATAAGGGTTTTATGTATTATCTGTTGATTTTACTGTACTCATACTGCCTACTGTATCATCAAAAACACCCCAAAAATGGCACACAAAAAAGAAAAAAAGAAAAAAAAGAAGATAATTTCCCTTGCCAAAAATTGATTACAGTGTCTTGGTCACGTGTAAAGGGTTACATTTACCTAAATATTACTTTATTTATTATCTCTTGATGTTATTAGTGCCATCACAGGATGCTGGGTGTCTTTCACATTCATAAACACTTCAAAAATGGCAACAAATGATCATTTCCCTTGCCAAAAATTGATTACAGTGTCCTGGTCACGTGTAAAGGGTTAAATTGACCTAAATATTACCTTATTTATTATCTCTTGATGTTATTAGTGCCATCACAGGATGCTGGGTGTCTTCCACATTCATAAACACCTCAAAAATGGCAACAAATGATAATTTCCCTTGCCAAAAATTGATCACAGAGTCCTGGTCACCCATAAAGGCTTAAATTGGCATAAATATTACTTCATTTATTATAGGGCTGGGGGTAAACGATTATTTTTAAAACGATTATTCTGACGATTATTTTATCGAATAGTCGACTATTCTAATGACTATTTAGAAAATTAATCTAATGATTATTTTTCTATTGCACAATTAACAAAAACCAGAAAATCTCAAATAAATTGATAAATTCTTACTGTAAGAGAATAAACACTACAGGCCTTCCATTTTGTATAACACTGCTTTTATTGTGTTGCGGTTGGTTATGTTCTGGTGACGTGTAGAACTTGGGAGTGCAGGCTGCTGCCTGAGAGGTGGTAGAAGATGGAGTGTCTCCATGCTGCTTTGTTTTGGTCACTTATGTGCGTGAGGCGAGTGGTCTTACGGGTTAAACCAAACTCAGGTGATATTTTACACTAAACCGAAAACCCACAACACTCTAAATGTAATAAAAGGGAGATCTACACCACAAAAAAGATTAACTCTAAACCAAAACGTAACAGCTTATCCCAACGCAAGAAGCTGTTAGCGAAGATGCTAACAGTAGCTTTACCAACATTAAGTTCAAGTTACCAAGTTTAAATAAACCAAAAACACCCAGCAGCAAACAGACCAGCACGGAGGAGAGACAGCTACCACCAAAACAGCTCTCCTCATGTCTGAAAGAAGCTCCTTAATGAAGGGAGAAGCGCTCCCAGTGATTTTCTACATCTGCGATAGACACGAAGCAGCGCATCTGACCCCGGAAGTTGTTGTCCGTTGCCGGGAGACGAAGGGGCAAAACAGGAAAATAATCTAGTAGTGGACGGACATTGTTCCGGGTCTTCGGTATTTGGCGGAGATGTTAGTGAAGGCGGAGAAGAGGGCGAACTAGAGGAAAAACAGGCAGATTCCTCCTCTATTTACAAACTCCTGGGGATGCAACAAGTGGGCGCGGTGCGTCGACTTCCGGATCTGACGTCGACAAATTTTTAGAATCGAGCCGTCGACTTCGTCGAGGCTTCACTACAGCCCTAATTTATTATGATGCTGGGTGTGTTCCACAATCATATTCGAATAAACATGAAAATATTCTGTCCGAATATCTGTTTCTTGTTATAAATATAACAGCTAGAAGGATTTACAGTTAAAATAGGAGAAACACGTGACTACCCAGGAAGGGTCGTAACACCACTTGCCTCATGCACATAAGTGAACAAATCAAAGCAGCATGGAGACACTCCGTCTCCAATCACCTCTCAGGCAGCAGCCTGCACTCCCAAGTTCTACACATCACCAGAACATAAACAACCGCAACACAATAAAAGCAGTGTTATACAAAATGGAAGGCCTGTAGTGTTTATTCTCTTACAGTAACAACTTATCAATTTTTTGGAGGAATTTATTTGAGAATTTTTTGGTTTTTATTAATTGTGCAATAGAAAAGTAATCACTAGATTAATCATCTAAATAGTCATTAGAATAGTCGACTATTCGATAAAATAATTGTCAGAATAATCATTTAAAAAATAATCAGTTACCCCCAACCCTAGAATACCAGGATAGGAAGGATGGTGTAGGTTTACGTTTATTAGATTGATACATAAATACTACCAATAAGAAAGTGTACGTTGGTGTGTGTCAGAAACAGCGTAAGGCTTAATGTCTTTTCCAAAAAAAACAGGTGATGGGCCGGTCTCCAGTCAAAATGCCCGGGCTGAATTTTTGTCCCAGTCCAGCCCTGCCGGTGGAGTAGCTGAGTGGAACCTCCAGATAACTCACACTGATTGGTTTTAACTGAGTAGGAAATGACATCCGCAGACATCCAAAACAAC